CGCGCCATGATCTGAAGGGCAGGGGTCTGGGAGAGGTCAGGTCCCTCCCCATCTACAACTTTGACAGGAGCCATGATCTCCCTGCACCTGCTGCTCCTCTCCCAGTTCCTGCTCCATAATCTCTCTGACTCTGACCTCTGCCTTATTGTCTCTGTTCTCCTCCTTACCTGCTTTCGAACCCGGGCTGAGCTTCCAGGAATCTCCTGTTCCGATAGAAAAGACAAGAGGCCCCAATACAGGTCGGGGCCCCTGGAGCCTGCGGCCCCACACTAATGTGTCGCAGAGTGGACACTCTGAATCCCTGGGCAGGAACTGCTCCCCCACGGCCCACACACCGCCCTTCACAGGTCTCTCGGCCTCCATCTCTGTGCTGTCTTCTTCTGCCCTGGCCTGGGTCTTCGTTCTGCCGCAGCACCTTTTCTAACCGAGCGCCCCACTTCCTGTCCTGTGCCCTCCGGTCTCCACCGTCCCTCTGCCTCTGTGCGGGTGTCTGTCTTTGTCTCTGTTTCTCAGTGTCACTTGCGCCTCTGTCAGCCTCCTCCTTGTGCTTTGTGTATGTGCGTGTGCGCCGTGTTCACAGCCCAGTTTTTCTCTGCCTGCCTTCACAGGCTGCTTAAGAGTTCACCATATGTGTGATGGTGTCTCGGGCCGGGAGGGAGGGAGATCAAAGCAGGTGGGAAGTCACTTAAACCCAAGGAAGCACTCTGGCTGCAGAGGTGAGGCGCCTGGGTTGGTGTTGCACCAGCCGGCGGCTCTGTCTTCGCTTTCTGTCTGTAGTCAGGCCCCTCCTGCTTTGCTTCTAGCCTGGCTTCCCACCCCTCGGCCACACTTTTTCACTGCTTTGCTGTTTGTTGCTTCCTGGAAGTAGGTGCTTCCTGGATGGGACCAGGATTTCCTTCCCAGTTCGAGCTGAGTCTGCTGTGGCAGAGGTGGTAGGAAGCCAGCTGGGTACTCAGGACCTCAGAGGTGCACAATCACCACTCGGTGTGGTGCGTGTGGTGCGCCATGTGCTCTGAGTTCATGTCACCTTCTTGACACTGGAGGACACACCAACACCTTATCCCACCTCTTTGCCTAAGGCCACCAGGGCACCTCCCTCCTCTTGCTAATAAAGTGCTGTGTCTGGAAATCGGCCGACCCTGACCAGGGGTCTTCGTCATCATCGCCTGTCGTCCCCCTCCTCCCCCTCCTCCCCTTCCTCCTCTTTCCTCCCAGTTCCCTTGTCACCCTCATTCTCACAGCAGTGCCTTCTGGTGTCTCTTACTTTTGCCCTTCCCACACTGCCCCTCACTGACTTTGTCAGGGAGCATCTGAAGACTGACTTCACATCCTTCCCCACCAAATCCTGGCCCACTGGAGAGAGCACATCACCCCCCAACCCTCCTGCTGGCCCCTTTGCCAAAGCTGTGAACCTCACCTGGATGTGTGTATGGGTGGGGCTCCCTGCCTGCTTTTCCCGGTGGGGGTTTCCCAAGGCAGGGCTGTTGGGTTGGGTATTTGCTCGCTTGCACTTTATCAACCAACAGACTTATTTGGAACCCTGGTGGTGTGCCTGGCAGCCGAGGCTTGAATGATGTAGTCCACGGTCAAGAATGTCTCTGGGCCAGGCAGGGAGGGTGGAACCAGTGCCAAATGGCTCCTACTATAGCAGAAGAGAGATGTCGGGTTGGGAGGGAATGCGGGCAAGGCTCGCACGACTTCCCAGAGGTGACTATTTGAGTCCCAAGGGAGCAGGAGGGAAGAGTGCCCCTCACCAAAGCTTGCACAAGGGCATGAAGGGGTGCAAAAAGCCAGGTATGTGCAGAGAAGAGAGAACAGGACTTGGTGATAGGAGACTGGGCTCCTTACCCACTCATGAGCCAGCCGGGCACTAGGGCGCCTGGACTCCATCTGTAACGCTGTCCTGTCTTTGGGGAACAGGAGTGTTGCTTGTAACTTTCTCAGGCTCAGGATCTCAGTGGCCTTCCTGGAGTTAATTTTTGAGACCACTCATTTTCCTCCTCTCCACACTCTGCTGGGTCATCGTTGCTTCCATTTCCCGGCTTTTAAATTTTACTTCAAAATCCGCAAATCCCCAGAAAGACAGAGACCATCCTCTTTATCACCTTCCTGTTCATTTTCACATAGTCCCTCCAGTTGTCCGCTTGCATCGTCTTAAGGGCTCAGGATAGATAATGATCCTCGCTGCCATTTAGTGGGAATGTGCAAGAGACTGTTTCAGGCACGGTGTACCCCTTGGTGTGTTTGACTTTCACAGCTTTCTAGAGGTGGACATTATCATTCCCCAGTTTACCGAGGACGAAAGGGAAGCTTAGAGAATAACTTGGCCAAGGTCACTTGGTTAGGAAGCTGCAGAGGCAAGTGTAAGCCTCAGTCTGTTTCCTATGCCTCAGCTCCTGGCGGTCTGTTAATATAGAGAGGGACTTGTGTGGCCTATTCTAGACCTGCCACTGTACAGGTAAGCAAATGCAGGCTTGGTGAAAAGTGACAAGCCCGAGGTTGCCTGCTCCTCACCCGGCTGGACCCCTTCTCCTGACTCCTGCTGCAGGTCAGCCACCACCTAGCTCCCAGCGGACAAGGAGCCAGCTGCTCAGTGTCCTCTGGAGACTTCAGCAAGAGAGCAGGGTGTCCTGGCTTCATGCAGGAACGCTGTGAATATAAAAGCCGTCCCTGAACCAGGGCTTATTGGGCCATCCCACTCTCAAGCCCTTGACTTGGACTCCAGGGGGCGTGAGAAGGAGAAACTGTGTGTGTGGAGAGTTTGCAGCGTGTAGCTGCTTTAGAGAAATGCGCCAGGATATGAATACATTTGAATTATAATGAGGGCAATGCCTGAATTAATAATGCTGGCTGCTCACCTGACCCATCCTTCCCCCAGGATCTCAGCACCTGCCACCCTCGTCCCGCAGGATGAAATGTGGGTGAGCCTTGTCCTTTCCTTCTTTAAGAGATATGCACACAAAGTCAGGTCAGCAGTGCTGGGGAGCCACTCTCAAGTATGGCAGAAGGACCCCGTTTCTTTGAGCCCTGCACACTTGTTGCCTTGTGAGCTGAATCAGTCCACTAAACCAAGAGAAAAGAGGCTGTTTTATATTATATCATATTCTGGCCATCAGACCATTCCTGGCCCTGCCTTGTCCTTCTCAGCCCATAACCAGTGTGGACAGATATTTAATATTCAGGGAGATTGAGGGGCCGGGGATTTAGCTCAGTGGTTCCGCCTCCTGCCACGCAAGCACAAGGACCTGAGTTCGATCCCTGTTACAGAAAAGATGGAGGTGGAGAAGACAGCATGGCTCCCTGCCTTGGGGTAGAGGTTCTCATTCTGGTGGGACAGATAGGAGAAACACCACCAACAGCCCCAGTCACCAGCTGCCCTCGACCTCCTGACAAATATACAAGAATAAGCCCTCATGGCCTGAGACAGGAAATCCTGTGGATAAAGCTGCAGCAGTAGGGCTGAGTGATGGACAAGCTGTGCTTGCTCAAGGAGCTAAGGGATAAGTCTAAGAGGGCTTCCTAAAAGTGGAACATTCGGCAGATTGGAGAAGGGGCAGAAATGGGGCTGGAGGAAGAAAAGAAGGGAGAGGGTAAGACTAGGATTCTGCGGCTGGGGTGTAGCACAGTGGTAGAATCCTTGCCTAGTGCTGACAAGCCCTGGCTTCGAGTCCCCGGGACATGGAAGATGGATAGAATCGTTACCTCTACATGGTTTTAAAGGAATGTCCAGAAATGGTGAGGGATGAGCATATATTACACACCGGAACCACAGCAGATTGGAGAAATGTTGGGAATCTGGGTTTGGAAAGGGCTGGATTTGGGGGTTGTGGCCTCTGCAAAGGCTTTGTGCCGGGAGGGAAGAAGAGGAGGAAGTGCTGGCTTGGGTTACCTGGGTGTGCTGGAGGTGTCTCCTACCCTCCCTTCCATCCTCTGCCTCCTTACAGCATGGTGGCCGACCAGTGATGGAGTGAGCTGGTGGGTGGGAGCAGTGGGGGAGAAGAAACCCGCAATCCAATTCCCTGCTCCATTTAGGCTCCACAATTAAAGGCAATTACTCTGCAGTTCTCTAATCAAATGCTCCCGGGCCGAGCTGCCAGCCGGGCAGCCATGTGTAGCTTCCCACAGCCAGAGAGAGAGTAGAACAAAGTCACATGGCCTCTTGGCTCACACGGTGCTGGGGGCTGAGTGTGTGCAGGTGTGTCTGTGTGTGGACACTCGCGCCCCAGCTCTTGGGTCGAGGAAGGAACAGGGCACAGGGCTAGTGTACCAAGAAGTGGGTTCTGAGCCACTTTGTTTGGGATCTGTATACACGTGGCCGTGTAGACATGGCTGACACATGGAATCCACCCTTCTGCTCTTGAAGTTGTCATTCTTGGGAGAAATGATGCCGAGTGCAGACGCACACTTGTTGCCTTGTCTTGGCTCGTGTGACTCATGTCCTAGCAGGAGTCACGGTGGTGGATTCATGCATCTGGGCCTGAGTCCAAGGATGGGGTGTGTGTGTGTGTGTGTGTTTGTGTGTGTGTGACCACCAGCAGCCTTTATCATGACTGCGTCATCTGCGAATCTGGGTGTGGGGGAGGCAGGCAGTAGGGTCACAGAGGAATAGCCTAGGACCTGACAGGCAGGGGCTCCAGCACTAAGACCAGCTGTACTGTTCACTGGGTGCCCTTGGGTAAGCCTCTCTTCTCCCTGGACCTCAGTGTCCTGCTCCACAAAACTGGGGGTTGGGCCAGACCCGTCTCCAAGGCCTTTGTGTGATCCATTGCTGTGATCGCTAAGCACTTCAATGCCTGAAACCCACTCCTGGGGGCCACTGAGGGAGAATGAAGGGAAAACCCGTGACTGCTCAGAGGGAAGGGGTTGGCGCAGCAGTGGGGCAGGGACTGAGACTGTCTCCCTCTTTCAGGGAAGGAATCGGAGCTGGGGTAGGGAGACCTCTTGGCAGAGCCCCTCTCCTCAGTCACCTCCTTACCCGGTGACCACTTGGGTTTTACCAGGGACCCAGACCCGCTTCAGCCAGGAGCCAGCTGACCAGACTGTGGTGGCCGGGCAGCGAGCCGTGCTCCCTTGCGTGCTGCTCAACTACTCTGGTATCGTGCAGTGGACCAAGGATGGGCTGGCCCTGGGCATGGGACAGGGCCTCAAAGGTAAGTGGCCTCTCCACACCCAAGTGGTGACATCTTCACCCTCGTTTCTCATTCCCAAGACTCCAGGACTCGCCATCCCTCGCTTTCCTTACCAAGCTCAGCTCCCCTCTCCCTCTCCTCCTGAGCTCAGTCTTTCCCAGACTGGATGGGCCTAACAAAGGCAGTGCAGATCTCTGGGAGATAGAGGAAACCAAGAGAACTTCGCATATGTGAGCTGCTGTTGGACAGACACATCCTGAGTGGCCTCAGGCAGACAAGTCAAGCAGGAGGTGTCAAGACAGTACTGGTGGGACTCTAGGTACTCTGTATGCTCCTCTAGTGCTGTGTGCGGGCTGGCTGAGTTCCACCTTCTCTCCCCTGCCCAGGCTATGTTTGCTCAGAGGCCTAAAACTTGTTTTAACATCAGCCTGAGCACTTACTTATTCATTCAACAAACGTTTATTAAGCACAGGCTATATACTTGGTGCTGAAGAAAACATGATTCGTTCAGGATCAAAAGACCAACCTCTTATATTCCTAAGCAAATAAAGAGTCCTTCAGGAAGGCTGCCTGGGGGGATTGGGTAAGGAGTTGGGACACCTAGGCCCTGGACCTGCCTCTGTCACCTGTCAGCTGGGAGACCTGAGGAAAGCCACTTCCTTTCTCTGACACTGGGAACAGGCATTACAGTCACAGGACTGCCTGCCTTATAAGTGGTCCTGTGGGTTTTGCACAAAACAGAGTAGATACTTTGTGAAAACAGTTAGCTGAAAAGCCCTGTGATGAGGGCTAGAGATTTAGCTGAGTGGTTCCACCACCTGCCTTGCAAGCACAGGGACCTGAGTTCGAACCCCGGTACCAAAAAAAAAAAAAAAAGCCCTGTGATGGTGTCAGTGCAGGGAGTGCTGTGTATTTCTCTCAGTACTATTTTTGAGGGGGTTGAGGTTATTTACAGTGGGCTGTGAGTGTTGGTACAGGTAGGGGAGATCTGTGTGTAGACATCTGTGTAAAGGAAAGAGGTGGTTCGGGTGGATCTGTTGATGATGGAAAGAGAGAAACTAGGAGAGCGAGAGAGATCAATAGATATGGAGTGAGAAGAATCGATAGCCGCTGGACAGAGGAAGATCCTGGGCGGGAGCTGACGGTGGTGACTGAGTGAGGGTGTGAGCTGTGAGCAGGAGCCCGGAGGAAGAGGCCACGGAGACGGATGGAGGCCACCGAGGGGCTGGACGCCAGGGCCCTGTGTAGGCAGGAGCCGGTGGACCATGCCTTGCTGTCCCTCCGTGGCACATGGGGTGAGACCTCAGCCTGTCTTGGGCTTCCCTCTGCCTTGTGAGTCCCACAGAGGTGCCCGCAGTGAGCTCGGGCTGCACCGCGCTGCCCTATATTTCCTCTCACCCACACGCGCTCTCTCTCTCCCCCTCTGCTTTCTCCCTGCTGGCTGCCTTTTCCCCTCTTCCTTTGCTATCATTATGAGAGGCATTTGTCTGCAAACAGCTCCGGAGATTTCATCTGCTCCTGCTCATCTCCCCCCACGTCTGCCTGCCCCCATCCAACCCTCCTGCTACGTGGCTCCCGGGCTCGCTGTGGGGGGCCCTGACACATTGGAGTCTGTCTGCCACTTCCAGATCCCACCTGCCGTGGTGCCCAAGGAGAAGGGAGAGAGGGAGGCGGCCGGGGGTTGGGTGGGTCCTGACTCGGGACAGGCGGTGGGGAGAGGATATCATTCCTGAGACTGCGCCTCACCCTTTGTCTTTCTGCAGCCTGGCCGAGGTACAGGGTCGTGGGCTCCGCGGACGCCGGGCAGTACAACCTGGAGATCACAGATGCCGAACTCTCTGATGACGCCTCTTACGAGTGCCAGGCCACGGAGGCCGCCCTGCGCTCCCGGAGGGCCAAGCTCACCGTGCTCAGTAATGACTGCCCCGCCCCAGCTCAGTCTCTCCCCTCTCCGATTCCCTGGCCTCATTTTCCGCACACCATCCCTGCTCTCCCTGTGATTATCTCTGACAGTTCCTTCCTTCGGCATCTTCCAGAGCCAAGTGCAGATGAGAAGAGAACAGGGGGCTGTGGACAGTCACTGGTGGCCCATAGGGGCCATCGGGTTTGGCATCCTCTGCTCTGGCCATTCAGGACCCAGACCCACCTTGGCGCATAGCATGGATGGAAACAGGCTCTTCCTGCAGGAGCATTTGTGTTGATGGAACGCCCTCCCTTCCCAGCTCCCCAGCAGTCAGGCTCGTGGGTGAGGGAGCGTCTCCCTCCTCCTTTTCACCCCCTCTGTTGCCTCTGAACTTCCGAAACAGCCCTGTTGCTCACTTGCACCCCAGCCCGGCCGCACCTCTCCTGGGTGCCCCCTCCACACTCCCTGCACGAACCCCTTCTCTTAGATTCACTGGTGCCTCCTCAGGGAACAGGGGTGCAGTCTGGAAGGAAGGGCCTAGAAGTCTGGGGCTGGGCTCCTGCTGTGTCTGCTGCCAGCTACAGCTACAGGAGGGCTTGTCTAGTGAAAGCTCTGCTCCCAGCAACACTCTGTGTGGGGACGAAGCAGATGGCCCTGTATGGTAGCCCCTGGGACCATCTGAATAACTGGTGACTCTCCCGTACACGGGACCCAGTAAGGCCAGCTCTGACACCCCTCACCCCTCTGTCACCTGCCTCCAGGCCTCGGACTTTCTGCCTCCACAGCTCAGTGATCTCCCATGTACTCTCTGGCTTAGGCTCTTCTGCCTGGGACCCTCTCTTCCCTTTTGTCATTAACTCTGTTCTGTCTCTTTCCTGCTTCCTTCTCATCGACTCTGATCCTCCTCTTTCCCCTCCCTCTAACATGAAGTCATTGAAGTGGGGAGTAAGAGAGGAGCTGAGATGAACTGAACTTATTATTTTTGGGCAAGGGGAGTAAGAATGTGACAGGTTGTCTCAGGTAGCAGAAAGAATCCTGTGCTGCTGGGAGTCGAGACCTGGGCTCTGATACCGCCTTGGCCATGCCGGCACTGGGACCCAATGGGGTCATGGCCCCTGGGCATGGGTTTTTCATCATTGATGTGGCTTAATGACAGTGACCTGTTCTTAGTAAATGCCACTTCGTGCTGCCTGCCCGGGAACCATGAACTATGAAGATCTGGGCAAGTGTGAGGTGTCAGAATGTGAGGACTGGAGGGACCTGGTGACCGGTCCTTTGGAAGGACCAGGACTCACAGCTGGATGGGGACTTGCTTTTCCTCAGTAGGACTAAAGAAGAATAACTAGGGGGAGAATCGCAGTTAGAGAGCAAGAATTAGAGTTGAACACGAAATGCCAAGACATCATCTTACGTCCATGCTGGACCAGGCATTCCAAGGAAGCCATGAGATTTCTTCCCTAACTGCCTCTGTTTGGACCCTGAAAGGTGCTACTATTGTCCTAGAGAACTCCCATCCGAATAAGGGGCCTCATACTCTTCCCTTCTCTCTCCTGCTCCATACACAGATGGAGAGGGAAATGAAGAAATTCAACGAAGCACCTAGGTATGGCTAGACTAGGGCTTGATAATGGCACCCACTGGCTTGGCTCAGCCCACCAAGTTTTCCTGGAGAAGAATAGCAGGGGGGAACCTTCGCTGGGGGAGTGGCTTGTTAAAAAGCCTGCAGATCAGTGAGGGAGAGCTTCAGTGTGGGAACCTGACTGCTTGTGGAAGGGTCTGGTCATTGCTGAGGGCGAGGCCTTCTCTGACTTGAGTGAAGGAGAAGAAGAGCTGAGCAGGAGGCAGATGGTGAGTCCTGATGCACCTCTCCCTCACTCGCCACCTGGCATCTCTCCCCAGTCCTCAGACACCTGTCACCTGCCCCACACAGAGGCAGCAAGAAGGGGTGGCATTCTCCCTACCCCGTTACCTGCCTGCCCACAGCTTTGGCTGTGGCAGCGAGGGGCCCTTACACTGGACAGGGCAGAAACAAGCAGCAAGCTGTGCCCCTGGTCTGCGATCAGCCTCCCTCTACCCTCCAGCACCATAAACTTATGCGCAGCCTCCCCCAGGCCATCCGCCTTCACAGAATGGCCTCTTTCATTCCCCTTGCGGCAGGCTTGAGAGCAGGCCTGCCCCCCTCCCCAGCAGACGCAGAGCCAGACATAATATAGATCTGCAGACCTACAGCTCATTATTCACGGCAGTAACAACTGGAGTGCAGCGGCGATGAGTGTGGCTTTGGGTTTGGGGGGCTCGGTGCACAGCACAGCTCTACCATTCTTTGTCCTCGGAGCCTCAGTTCCTTATCTGTAAATTGGGGTTAATGATATTTCCATGGACGGATTAATGACTTGTACTTTGTGGTAAGGATTAAATGAGACCATATACACGAGGCACTCTGGCTGACACGAAAGGTAGGCGTTCAGAATGGTAGAAATGATTGTTGATCATGTTACAGCCTACAGTTGGCTTCACGTACCCAACCGGAGCTCTGGAGAGTGGGTGTTGATGTTATTTTTGAAATTTTATAAATGAGGAAACTGAGGGAATAGATATATACACAGGCTCACTGATACTTATTTAGGATTGAAGTCACAGGTCAGAAACGCGTGGTTTATAAACAAAGGCACCCAACGATCCACGCCATTGAAGGGCTGGCTGAGCAGACACCTCTATAACCTTAGTTTTCTTTGCCCAGATTTGGAGGGGGCATTGGTGATGGGCCCATGAGGGTGGGTGAAGAGTCTGGAGAACTGTAGAGGAAGGTGGCCTGTTGGCAGAGGTAACAGACTTTGCCTGATTGGCAGCCAAGGGAACCGAATAGAGTAGAAGGCCAGGGCTCTACTAGTCCAGGACTTCTCGGTGTGATAGTGAGCCGCTTCCCACCTCTGTCCCCAGACCTGCCCCCCATCTGGCACTGGAACCTGATAACTCCAGGGAGCGAGGAAGGGGAGAGCCCAGGATTCAAAGGATAATTAGCCAGGCAGAGCCATAGCCTCTGCTGGTTTTCATCAGGGAGTAAAGCTAACGCATTTTACACATCACAAGTGGCCCACCTTCTAGTTTATATGCAGTACTGCCCTGACCTTCAGAAGGGGCGAAGGAATAGCCATTATTATGCCTCTGATGAAGAAACTGAGACTTGGTGACTTCCGTGACTTGCCCAAGATCAAACAGCAGGCAGATAGATGCCAGGATTTGGAAGAGCCCCCAAATTCTGAACTGTCTCCCTTTGATCCCAGTGGGCATGCGTGAGTTAAGAGAATGCCAGGATGCTGAAAGTGGTTCCCTTCTGCTGGAAGCCGCCATAACTGGAAAGCCCTCCCCATTCCCCCCAGCTCCACAGGCCTCCCAGTTCCCTCCCAGGGGTTCCCCCGAAAGCTCCCTCTCAGGCTTCCTTTTCTCCCCTAGAAGGAAACAAACAAGACCCTTCCTCACGGGTGGACTAAAAAGATTATAATCAAAGACCTTAGGCCTTTATCACTCCAGGTTGACTGGTGATCATCCAATCTCTGACCAGACATTGGGAGTAGGTGCAGAAATAAGAGCCCATACCCTACAGGAGCTGATAGTCTGGTGCACCTTGGCATCAGAAGTCTGTGGGGATGCATGTAGCAGGGAGACAGCTCCTGTTTGCCAGTAGATGTCCAGTCCATTCCTTTCCTTAAGCATTCAGCAAGGGCCAGCTTTGGCCTTTTTCTAGGCATTGGAGACGGTGTATAAGTATTAGACGAGATCTCTGCTTTTCCAAGGGATAGCAGTTTTGATTGGGGTGGGGGCAGATAGCCTTCATAAGTAACTCCAATACGGGGCAGAAGTGCTAAGGCCTGGGAGTGACAGGCTGAAGTCTGGCCCTGGGAAGCTTTTGCATCTACTGGGATTTGACAGGGTGGTAGCACCTTACAGAAGGACATGTCACATCCCACATAGGAAAAATAAGCATAAGCAGAGACCCTGAGGAGATGAAAAACCATAGGGCTGGAGGACCCCAGAGCAAAAGGCCCCACGGGCTCGGAACTCATTCTGTGAAGGCAGTCACCTTCTCGAGGTGCAAGCTGTATTAAAGGCCTGAGACAGCCCAGGCTTTTCCTCGAGGCTGTCCCTCGAGCTCTAGTGAATATACTGGTGCAGTGTTAGGGGGTGTGGTGCAGGCTAGGAAAGAAAAACCAGCAAGAGGCTGGGGAAGCTTGTAGAGTGAGCGTCTCAGGTGAGGCCAGGGCAGGAGCAAAGCAGTCATTGTAAGTTAGTGTAGGTGGCACCGCCCCGCGGAGAGGCGCAGATGGAGAGCCGACTCCAGAAGCACAGAATTCGGTCCCCAGGGCTGACTGCTCTGCTCTCCCTGGCAGTTCCCCCAGAGGACACCCGGATTGATGGAGGCCCCGTGATCCTGCTGCAGGCAGGCACCCCCCACAACCTCACATGCAGAGCCTTCAACGCCAAGCCTGCCGCCACTATCATCTGGTTCCGGGACGGAACGCAGCAGGAGGGTGCGGTGGCCAGCACGGTGAGACCCTGCCCGCTTCTCTGGGCCCAGCCCACCTTTTTTTTTTCTCCCCCACAAGGTCTGACCACAGACTGAGAAGGACAGAGCCAAAAGACTGATCCTTCAGTGGTCATCTGGTCTAATGCTTTGACTACATAGTTGGGGAAATCATAGCCCCAAGAAGAGAAGTGGATTTCCAGGGTCAGCACATCACTCAGCAGCTGAGCAGAAACGGGTGATCGAGCACTCCGTGTGCCCCGCGCTTGATAAACACCTTACGGACAGGCTCTCCTAGTCCTATAATGTGGGTGCTGCTTGCACCTCCCAAAGACAGAAACTGGTCAGAGAGGTTGAGTGCTTTGCTCAAGGTCACACAGCTGGCAAGCAGCAGAACTGGGATTTGTACCTGGGTATACCAGTGTTCTGCCTCCACTGATCAGCTCTACCCACTTCTTCCAGCAGCAAGTCAGCGCCTTTACCCATTCGTGACTGCTAAGAGATGGGGGAAGCAGGGGTTATTTATCCTGTACATGTGAGAGGAGGAAGCCTTGATGGTGAAATACATTCAGCAATTTGCCCAGGATCATGTGATAAGGGTGAAAAGCAGAGATGGAATTCGAATCCCCTCTGCTTTGGGTTCCTTCTGCTAGCTGCAGGCTGGTACCTGTGTGGCCACCTCTTTCACGGGCGCTCAGGAGATGCTTCTCAGTGTGGGGAGAGACTGCTCCCCTTTGTTTCTCCAAGGGTAGTGAGCCCACTGAGTACCTGACTTTGGCTTTTGCTCTGCCCTGCGTGACCTTGGCCAGTTCACTGCAGTCTTGGTGTCAACATTGGGTAAGTGACCGTATGGACTTAGTAGTGTGGAGCCTTTTCAACACCAAGAGCTGTTACTTTTCTCCTGTAGGGCTACGTGTTTAAAAATGTTTCCGCAGCCCAACAAGTGTCTGTCTGTGGCATTATTTGTCCATTTCCATTTTCCATATTCATTTAAGGCTAAGGCCCTGTGACAGCCGTGTTACAACACCAACTGGTTCTGTGTGGTCCTCCGAAGATGCAGGACCTGGCTCTGGTTGTAGCACAATTTCCCATAAGCAGTGTGCAGTATGAAAAACACTAAAGATTCCCTTAATTGTACTTAAGAACCTCAGTTTAGGTGTCACGGAGCCAGTGTGAGTCTCCGTCCTTTGTGCCCTGCCTTTCCCTCAAGGAGTCTACAGTTAGTCAGGAGACACCTAGCAGTGCTGACATTTTAGGGCCGGGGATTTAGCTCAGTGGTTCTGGCACCTGCCTTGCAACCACAAGGACCCGAGTTTGATCCCCGATGCCAAAAAAAAAAAAAAAAAAAAAAAACCCCACCAAAACTGACATTTCACATGAGGTGCCTAAGCACAAGGGTATAGATGGTTAAATTCAGGCTGGGAGACAGTCCTGGGCTGGGCTGGCCCAGAAAGGAAGAGGAGGGACTTGGACAGGACTCAGAATTCCAGGAATGAGGCTGTCCTACAGAGGAAACTTCACAGCATCAAGAGTGAACCACCCCCATAATCTGTGAGCTTCAGCTAGTGGCCGTGTATCCACACCGGTCCATCTGTCCTAATACATTTATCACAGGTGTGCAAGATGTTAGTGATGGGGGCCCGTGAGGCAGGGGGAATTAAGAGCTTTAAAACTGCTCTTAAAAAGTCGATTAAGGCTGGGTGTGGTGGCACACGCCTGTAATCCCAACACTCATGGGCGGCTGAGGCAGGAGGATCGCTACGAGTTCCAGACCAGCCTGGGCTACGTTGTGAGTTCCAGGTCATTCTCAACTACATAGTGAGACCCTGTTGCAAAAAAAAACAAAAAAATAAAGTCGATTAAAAGCCGGGCATGTTGGCCCATGCTTGTAATCTCAGCACTCAGGCTGCTGAGGCAGAAGAATCGCTGATAGTCCGAGGCCAGCCTGAAACTACACAGCAAGACCTAGTCTCAAAACAAACAAACAAACAAAAAAAGCCAATCAATAAAAAGCCCGAGGGAAGAAGTAGCAGGGGTAGAGTTGAGCTTTAAAGACCCCCGCTGAGTCAGGTCCTTCAAGAACTGAGGAGAGGGCTTGCAGCTTGACCTTGCCTCCCACCCTTGTCACACTCCAGGAGCTACTGAAGGATGGGAAGAGGGCGACCACCATCAGCCAGCTGCTCATTAACCCAACTGACCTGGATATCGGGCGTGTCTTCACCTGCCGCAGCACAAACGAGGCCATCCCTGGTGGCAAGGAGACTTCCATTGAGCTGGACGTGCATCGTGAGTGGGACCTGGGGAGGGGCAGCCTCGGGAAGCACAGGCCTGAGAACAAGTGCTCCCTTCACCCTCCCAGTCCCCTGCTGCACCGGGCAACTGAGGCCATTGGGCCTTGGGGCGTTGGCTGTGCACTCAGGCAGGTCCTGGATTTAAATGGGTGTTCAACGTGGGGCAAAGATTTAATCTCACTGAGCCTCAGTTTCAGTTTCTGTACAGCTGTAGAAAATAAGCTGCAGACTAGACCTCCGTATCCACAATTCCACGCTAAGGTGATTGGGTGGAGAAACCTGAACCCAGCTCTTCATGGACCCTTTTGAACTTCGGTCATGTTTCCCAGGACATGTGTTCGTGTGTGTCTTTGTGGGTGTTGCACAGATGCTGCTGGGGGTGGGGTTTTTACAGAATAAAGAACCCATGCATTGCATTGTCTTTTTAAATATTTGGAAAATTCCACATTTTGAAACATTTCAGGTCCCAAGGGTTTCAGATAAGGTACTGTGGACCTCCTAGTGCTTCTTGGGTTGTGACCATTAAATAAATTATAGTGTTAAGAGTGTCTAGCAGAGTGTGCTTACCTGGTAGGTGCTCAAAAATTCCCTCTGCCCAAGGAACTATGGGAGCATGGACAGCAATTTGTTTGTGATACTCCCACTGTCCCCCGTCTCTTTCAGGGAGCCTAGCTAGGGCACACTGACGCCTAGTGGCCCCAGTGGGTTCTTGCATGCATTAAATAACTGTCCCTTGGCCTCTGGAGTACCATCCTTGACAGTCAGTCACCCTCACCAGCCCCCTACAGGCTCCTTGTGGAAAAGGTGAAGGTAGTGAACTGTATTGTTGGAGCTGATAGGCTGACACCCAGATTCCTGATCATACCAGAGTGGTGAGGTCTGAGTGTATGTGCTAGTAGGAAGGGACCGAAAAGACCCTGATCTCCTGTCCCCTATTTTGCAGATCCTCCGACTGTGACCCTGTCCATTGAGCCTCAGACAGTGCAGGAGGGAGAGCGTGTGGTCTTCACCTGCCAGGCCACAGCCAACCCTGAGATCCTGGGCTACAGGTGAAAGGGCCGGGGCTGGAGAGACCCTGAGTCCAGCAGCGGTGGGCACTGGGGAGCATTGTCTCTGGGCACAGGGTGGCAACCTGACCCCACCTCTCTGCTGCTCCTTCCCCAGGTGGGCTAAGGGGGGTTTCTTGATTGAAGATGCCCACGAGAGTCGCTATGAGACAAATGTTGATTATTCCTTCTTCACGGAGCCTGTGTCTTGTGAGGTGCACAACAAAGTGGGGAGCACCAATGTCAGCACTTTAGTAAATGTCCACTGTGAGTATCTGGGGTGGGGAGGCACAAGCAGGGGTGGAGAGGGAGGCTCCATGCAGCTGGAGGTGATGGGGGCATAAACATGGGTGATAACAGGCAGGAGAAGGGAAGGGAGACCTATGAGCTTGAGAACCTGACAAGCTGCTTCTCTCCACTTCAGTTGCCCCCCGTATTGTAGTGGACCCCAAGCCCACGACCACAGACATCGGCTCTGATGTGACCCTCACCTGTGTCTGGGTTGGGAATCCCCCCCTGACCCTTACCTGGACCAAAAAGGACTCGAACATGGTAAGACTCTCCTTGCCTGTCCTGAGTGCTGGGAGCAAGGGCACCGCCACTGGGCTGCAGCAGGGCTAAGGGACTGTGGTTCTTTCTCACATTGAACTGGGGATAACTAGGATCTTGGGATGAGAGAAGGACAGTGCTCGTGGTCCGCCCCACCCCTTCTCACAGGACAGTCACAGGACAGCGCGCCAATTAGAGGCCATGGGAGGGAGAAGCTAGCAACCTGTGCACGGGAAACAGTGAGGAGGGCCTAGGGAAGAAGGGCCCAAGGTATGTTTTGCAGTGATAAGAGCTGGTGAATTAACGGTGCAGAGGAAGGTGGGGAAGCGGGAATGAGCTGCCAGAGAGGAGCAGGCTGGATTCCACAGCTCTTTAGACCCACATTGGATAGTTTGGGCCAATTGCTGGATGAAGAATTGCAGTTAAAGCATCCTACCCATTTGGCAGTCAGAGCACTAGAACAGGTCATCAGAAGAGGCTGTGTCCTCTCGTAATTACTGCAGCCAGCAGCTGCCCTCTCCGGCCTCCCCATTCCCACCCACCCTTGGAGACCTGGTATGTTTAGGTACCGGCCTGTCTAGAGTTCAGGGATGGATCGGCTGGACTCGGGAACACCATCTCCCTGCTGGGAATTCACTTGTGGCCCTTCCTGCTTTCTTTCCAATGCCTCTGATGCGGGATCCTCACTGCTAGGGGTCCCGGCCTCCTGGCTCCCCACCCGAGGCTGCTCTCTCTGCCCAGGTCCTGAGTAACAGCAACCAGCTGCTGCTGAAGTCGGTGACCCAGGCAGATGCCGGCACTTACACCTGCCGGGCCATCGTGCCTCGGATTGGAGTGGCTGAGCGGGAGGTGCCGCTCTACGTGAACGGTGAGCGGCCAGGTGAGGCGGGTCTGGCACAGTGGGTTCTGGGCAGCCTTGACTGTGTCTTCTCGCTCACAGGGCCCCCCATCATCTCCAGCGAAGCCGTGCAGTATGCTGTGAGGGGTGACGGTGGCAAGGTGGAATGCTTCATTGGGAGCACACCCCCGCCAGACCGCATTGTGAGTGCCCCACGGCTCTGTGCTTCCCCAGCCTCCCCTGCTGGCCAGCTCCGACTTGGTGTCTTCGGCGTCCCCACGCCTTGTCTGCCCTGCTAGTCCTCTGCCTTTCTGTTCCTCTATGCCTTTGCCGGCGCAAATCCCGCCACCTTTCTCACCTGTGTGATCCTGAGCAAATTACTTGGTGTTTTGGACCTCAGTTTCCTCATCGATAAAACAGAGGCTGTAACTTACAGGGTTGTCAGGAGGAGGAGTAACTGCAGCAACAGGTGTGAAGAGCCCTGGGGAGCACCTGGTCCTCAGGTCCCCGTCAGCGCCTTCTGGCTGTCTCCTGGCCAAGAGGCTTGTTCTCTCCTCCCGCGTGCCCTGCCTGCTCTTCCTTCTCCCTTTTCTTCTCTCTTCCCCTTACAGGCCCTCCTCCCCGCAACAGTTCCCCTTCCCACCCTGCCCTGATCTTCTCTCCCTTTTCCTGCCTTCCTCCCGCTAGCCCCTCAGCATTGCTTCCTCCTCTCTCCTCTCCCCCACGCCATGAGCCATTAATTCCTTCCGTAACCATTAACCGTCAAACCCCTCATCACATTTAATGACCATTTGGCTAACTCCACGGCTGCCCAGGGACTCTTCATTACCACAGCCACCAGGCAGCGGGCGGCCGAGCTCCCAGGGGCTTTCCCTGTGGAGTGGGGAGGACAGAACCCTGGAAAGGAGCCAGTTCTCAGTTGCTCCCCCTCCTTGGGCTCTGCACGGTGAGAACGTGCAGGCGGATGGCCCGGCTGGGAGAGCAGGGACAGGGGCTCGGGGATGCTCCTCTCTGGTTCTTGCAGGAGCCTGTGGGTAGGTGTCCAGAGCCAGCCAGGCAGGTTTGTGTGAATTGGCGAAGGGTACAACTAAGGACTCAGACTCTAAGGCTGGAAGAAGTTACGAGTACTGTTCAGTGCTAACCTGGTTCCCTTGTTTTACAGATGAAGAAAATGAGTCTTAGAGAGGGAAAGAGAGCCACATGGGGACTCAGGAGGGAGAAAAAAGGACTACCACTGGGATCTCGGGTTCTTAAGTCCAAGCCAGAACTTTCTGTGCAGCATTCAGTGTCCCAAGATATCAGTGCATTAAATTAGCTATGTGCACAGTACATGGGACCACTTTAAAAAGAAAAGATCCCTGGGTCTCTCTCCTGGAGATTCACATGTAGGACGTAAGTCTCAAAGACTCCCTAGCTTAGTCTGACTCATTCTTGTGCAGAGTCAAGGGCTTGAGGCCATTTGTGTGGCTCTGGTTTGGGTACAGCTTGGGGTCAGAGGGCATATGGGGGTGAGGGTGCCTTGAGAGGAGGGTGGATCAGGTGATACCTGGACATGTGCACCTGCCACCTGCTACTTTCTTACTTCCTCCCTGTCCTCCCCGTCCCAGGCGTGGGCATGGAAGGAGAACTTCCTGGAGGTGGGGACCCTGGAACGGTACACGGTGGAGAGGACCAACTCCGGCAGCGGGGTGCTGTCCACGCTCACCATCAACAACGTCGTGGATGCCGACTTCCAGACCCACTACAACTGCACCGCCTGGAACAGTTTCGGGCCGGGCACAGCCATCATCCAGCTGGTAGAGCAAGGTGACTGGCCATTCACGGGGCAGCCTGGGGGTGTGATGCTCCCTTTTCTCCCTGGGCCAGGGCTTGCTTCCGCCCACACCCTGCCAGTCTCTCTCTTTCACCTCCCCACTGAAAGCTGGGGAATTTCACTCATTTTGTGAAGGTTTATTGAGGCTCTTGTGCCAGGCTCTGCGAGAGGGGCTTAGGGACAGCCAGGAACAAGACAGAAGCCTTGCCCATGAGAAACTCTCACCTCAGTGGGGCAACTTACAGAGCGGAAGCAAATGCACGCAGATGAACGAAAATGGCCTGCACAAAGGAGCGGTAACAGCTACCCGCCTCATGGTGTTGTAGGAATTAACTGAGAGAATATTTCTAAGGTGCCTGGCATACAGTAGATGTTCAGTAAGTTTGGATTTCTCCCACCTCTTCAAAAACTCTCCGTCTGACTGGAAAGACACGTTCCCTCCTTTGGGCAGTTCCAGCAGGGCTTTGACTTGGGATTCTCCCCCAGTCTGATAAGGAAAAGATAGCATTGTTTGTTTGGGTTTTTGAGTCCTAGCCCTAGACTGGGAAGCCCAGTCCCTTCCAGTGTAGCTGAAGATGCCTTCAGGGTGAGGTGCAAGATGCCGAGAGAAGAGAATGGACGGTTGGTATGGGGCACAGCCACAGCGGGGAAGGATCTCAGAGGAGAAGAGCCATAAGCAAAACTTGGGCCCAACTAGGACAGCCAGGAAGAGAGAAGGCACAGGCGGGATTCCCGAGCTCCTCCTCACTCGGGAAGCAGAGGGGACCTGAGGAACACTGGGCCAGGTGGAGGGTACAAGTACAGCAGGCACCATGGTGTGGATGGGGAAGGCACAAAAGAGGCTGGGACACAGGTGGCAAGGGCCCAGCCCAGGAGGGAGGATCCAAGCTTCCCGGGCAGCTGGGCCGAAAGAGACAACCAAGGCCAAGCCACGCTCAGCTACAGGGATGGGGTGTGGTCATGACCTCAGCTCGGGCCAAGCTGAAGCACAGACTCAACCCAGCCACAGTCCAGAGTTCGCGCTCCGTTGCTACCTGGGTTTAAACCTCCAGGGCCAAGAAACTCAGTCAAAACTTAGCTTTACCCGGATGTGCTGGTGCACCTGTTCCCCAGCACAGCACGATCCAGCGTTGCCGCCGTAGCTCTTCGCTGAGACTTCCGGCAGCACTAAGCTCAGATTCCCAGGGTGACCCCATCCTCACCGCTGCTCCTTTCCTTCCCCCATCGGAAGAGGTGCTGCCCGTGGGCATCATCGCTGGGGCCACCATCGGTGCAGGCATCCTGCTTATCTTCTTCTTCATCGCCCTGGTGTTCTTCCTCTACCGTCGTCGCAAAGGCAGTGAGTGTGACCCCTCGCAGCCAGGGCACCCCGTCCTGACCCTCCAGGGCACGCAGCGGGCAGTGCCTGCCGTGGGTGATGGGTGGGGGTGGCAGCTGAGCCCTTCAGCCCATTGGGGTGGAGGCCAGTGGACAGCATCAGGCCCAGCTGCATGCATGTCCCTGTCCCAGGCCGCAAGGATGTGACCCTGAGGAAGCTGGACATCAAGGTGGAGACAGTGAACCGAGAGCCACTCACCATGCATTCTGACCGGGAGGATGACACTGCCAGCATCTCCACGGCAACCCGGGTCATGAAGGCCATCTACTCGGTGAGGGGGCCACTCCTCCTGTCCCTGGTGCCCTTTCATGCTTAGGCCCAGCCCCAGCCAGCCTCTAACTACTGCCATCCCCTCCTCCCTCCCTTAGCTGACCGTGGTCCTCCCATGGACACCGACACGTGCCACACACAGGCACACTTGACACCCCCTGTGCACACTTACACAGTCACATTCACCAGTGCCAGGCTGCTTCCCTCCAGCAGAGAAGAGGCATGAGGGCTCCTTAGTCTTCCTGCGCTCCATCTACCCCATATGGAAACCCTTAGACCAACGATCCCCAACCTTTTTGGCAGTGGGGACCAGTTTTGGCGGGGGGCAGTTTTTCCTGGCGGGGGAGGGTTTGGGACAGTTCAAAGGCACGCTCTACCTAGATCCCTTCCGCACTCAGTTCACAGTGGTGTTTGTGCTCTTCTGGGAATCTGATGCCTCTGCCTCTGATCTGACAGGATGTGAAGCTCAGGCAGTCCCATGAGTAATTGGAGCACCTAGAAATAAGATGAAGCCTTGTTTGGCTGGCCCACCGAAGCCCAGATGCTAACAGGCCACAGACCAGCGGTGGTCCATGGCCAAGGGCCGGGTACCCCGCCTTCCCTAGACGTCTCCTGGTGCTGGGTGGCAGCAGCAATATACTGAATGCATGTTGCATATTAGCAACAGCATGAGTGTAGGAACCCGGGTCTCTGGCCTCTTCCCACCACACCCCAGAGCCCCTGCAGGGAGAGGATACAAGTCTGCCCTTGACCCCAGTCCCTTCCTTAAGCAGGTGGCTTCTGGCACGGGGACAGGGCTGGAGAGGGGGGGTAAAAACAGGGACTCTGTCTCCTCAACACTCACTCCTGCTGCTCTGCAGTCCTTTAAGGATGATGTCGATCTGAAGCAGGACCTGCGCTGTGACACCATCGACACCCGGGAGGAGTATGAGATGAAGGTGGGGAGGGGGCCCGCTGGGTGCGGGTGAGGACGGGCGGGGAGGAGCCGCGGGAGGAGGTGGAGTGACGCTGGCGGCAGGCGGGACAGCTGGAGGGAAATGCCCGGAAGGATGGCGGGCCTGATCCCCTCAAGAGGAAGCTCCCCCTCCATCTTTCTCTCTCACCGCCCGCCCCCCAGGACCCCACCAACGGCTACTATAATGTGCGTGCACACGAAGACCGCCCATCCTCCAGGGCAGTGCTGTATGCTGACTACCGTGCCCCTGGCCCTACCCGCTTCGATGGTCGCCCCTCGTCCCGTCTGTCCCACTCCAGTGGCTATGCTCAGCTCAACACCTACAGCCGGGCCCCTGCCTCTGACTATGGCCCTGAGTCCGCACCCCCTGGCCCGGCTGCCCCAGCTGGCACCGACACCACCAGCCAGCTGTCCTACGAGAACTATGAGAAGTTCAACTCCCATCCCTTCCCCGGGGCAGCTGGGTATCCCACTTATCGACTGGGCTACCCCCAGGCTCCCCCTTCAGGCCTAGAGCGGACCCCATATGAGGCATACGACCCCATTGGCAAGTACGCCACAGCCACACGGTTCTCATACACTTCCCAGCACTCGGACTATGGCCAGCGGTTCCAGCAGCGCATGCAGACTCACGTGTAGGGGCCAGAGTGCCGGGGGCCTCTTCAGGGCAGAGGAGAAGGCTTTCACAGCGGTTCCCTGATATTCAGGGGCATTGCTCCTTGCTCCCTTCTCGGACCAGCCTTCCTCCTCCTGCCGTGACAGATGTGGAGCGGGTCTCCCAGAAACACCCCGTCCCGAGGATGGTGCTCTGTGCATGCCCCAGCCTCCCGGGCCTGCCTCCCCTCTTCTTCGGGAGGAGGTGTCTCTTCTGACCTGTGCTCTTGCCTGACCCCAGCACGAGGACAGGGAAAGTGAAGGTTGGGGAGAGCGGGGGCACTTTTTAGCATTCTCTTCCTACCCGCCCCTCTGGTCTCCCGTAAGTGGACAGAGGAGGATGCAGGGGTGGGCAGGCTTCGGCCCAAGGCGCGTGAAGTACGCGAGTGGGTGGCTTTGGCACAGACAGGTGGAAAGCGGGACAACTCAGCCAATCCCTTCCTCTGCTGTCTGCATTCATACCCGGGATGCATCTCCCTCCTCGGAGGACTGCAGAAGGGACCCTCCATTTAGTTTAGCTCTTGTCTACGAACAGCCCTAGCACTCAGTTCAGCTGGGGTCAAAATGCCAGTCACTCTGGTGTCACTGGACGTCTGTCCAGAGGGATTCAGAAATTCTCAGTAGTGCTTCCCCCTTTCCTTCTCTATGCTGGGCCAGCCAAATAGGCCAGGGTTTTGGTGGAGAAAGAAAGTAGGACCATGCCCTGACGGACCAGCAGGAGGCCACTGTGCACTGTTTTGCTGCTTCCAGAACCAAGACTAGATGGAGCCCCACAAGCACCCTTCTCTCCCCAGTGTGCCCTGCTAACTGGCTTTATCTTGAGCCCACTATGGAATGATAGGTTGTGGTAGGTAGGCTGTTTTTCAAAGGCAATGAAAACCTCCCTTGGAAAGAAACGCTGTAGGGGTTCCCCCACCCAAGTACAGATCCCAGTGGAGAGGAAAGAGGCCATCTGTTCTCCTCCACCAGGTTCCTCTCATCCTGCATTACCCGTGTCTAAGCACTTTGAGCCCATTTTGTACATTCAGGTGGTAAGTAAGACCTGTCGCAGGCAGGTGGGCTCCATGGAGGTAGGGAAGGGCTGGCAGCCTCTGCTGTCCTACCTTACGCTCACTGGCTGGTTGGAGCCTACCTTCCAGAAGGCCTGAGAGATGTTCTCTCCAGACAGGTTCTGGTTTAAGTGTCTTTTTCTTTTTGGACCAATCATATTTCTTCCACTTTCAGTGCCTTGAGTGTCATGCTTTGGACAACCGTCCCTGTGGGTGGTCATGTAGGGAGCAAGTACCTGTGAGCCTCAAACAGGCTGCCAAGTGTTACGGTGTTGAAGGAGAGACGGGAGAGGGCTGGAAATGGCCCCGACGGAGGAGGTGGCCAGGAGGGCACTGCAGGCATTCTTCGCCTGCACTTCCTTGCCCCATACCCGCATGCACATGCACCCCCACACATTCCAGCCATCACTTCCCAGCTGCCACCTCTGACCAAAGAGAGCAGGCACTCCAAAGAGGACCTGCCCCCTGCCCTGGCCTCACCTCCCCAAGAAGCCACACCTGGAGTTGGCTCTTCACCGCCCCGTCGCTGCCGGCACAGGGGCTGGGGGCCTCCAGGCAATTCCCAGAATGCTCCTTGCCCTTTCTTGGTGATCACCATTCATTAGTCATGTTCGCTTTAATGAGTTACATGCTCATCAGCCACGGGCCATCACCGCCCTTACAGATGGGTCTGTGGGGTGACATTCTCAGCCATCCCCTTGCTAGTAAGGACCAGATGATACCCAGGAAGCGCACAGTTCCAATTCCAGCCTGGCAGGCAGCCTCCACAGCCCCCTCCCCATCCGTGGGACAGTCCCTACCTGGGCCCATTGCAGGATCGCAGCTGTGCTCAGTCCCTGGGAAATCATACCTTCCTGCAGAGTCCTTTCAGGGGAGCTCAGCCACAAGGTCTGTTAACAGATGCGGGTTCCTATGCAGATACTCTCATGCCAGTTTTCATTTTCATGGATGCTAGAAGCCATGCATAATCCAAATAATTTAAGCCTAAATATGGCTTTTTAAATGGGAATATCTTCCAAGATACTCGTTTTTATTTTGAACCTGGCCACATTTTCCTATTTTCTTGTTGGTTGAAGTACTGGGTCTTTCTGTTGAAAAGACGACAAGGAAGTGCCAGTATCACTAGGTAACTCAGCCAGCCAGTACTTAGTGCCCTGGGAGAATTGCTGAGAAGGAAAGTGATGGCTGAAGCTGTTCTCTGTTCCACCACACTTGCCCTGGGGCCGGCTGGGTACACCATGCAAGGCACAGCAAAGCAGCAGCAACCAGGGCAGACTCAGCCCTCTGTGAATTACACACTGCGCCATCAGAATAGGAGGTAGGGTCTGCCTGTGTGGGGAGTTAAAGGTGTCTGAGGCTGGCATCATCCAGCATGGTGGTACTCCAGGATTTGGTGTCTCGATCACCACTGGTGATACTGCCTTGGGGGCGGGGGGAAGCTACGGATCTGTTCTGAAGCTGCTGTTTACTGAGTGACCGTGGCCCATCCTCTATGTTCGTTGCCTCTTAACTTTCCGGCCTGCGAAATAAGGGGAAAGGCTTGCATGAAGTTAGAACTGTTCTGTTTGGGCGCTACTTGTTTGAAGAGATGTGATAGGGGCCTGCCCTTTTGTGTCTGGGGAGCTAAGGGGTTCACCTCTTGGAAGAAGCTTTCATGATAGGTTTCACTGTCTTGTCAGAAGTGTGAGTTAATTTCCACCAGGAGCCCCTTTGTTACAAAGAGCCACTTTAAACCCAAGTGGAACCAGACGGTGCCGCTTCCCATGCAGTTCTGATCGGTTCGCAGAGGTGTCTGGGCGGGGCATGGTGAACAGTCCCTTAACTGTGTATCCAGATTTTGGTCGCCTGCAGTGGGAGATGTTGAAGCAGGCACCCTCCACTTGGTCCTCAGAATATTCCCCTGCCCCAGGGACAACTCACAGTGCTGACCTAGCAAGGTGAAGCTAGCAGTTCCAGGAGTCTTGAGCCAGTTAGGGAGCAGGTTAGATGGGCAGCCGGTAGAGGGAAGAGGGGTACAATGATTTTGCTCTGGATTTCCAAGAAGCTCTTGTGACTTGGTGAGTCATGGCCTCTTTGCTTGTGGAGGGGCCAGCCTACACCCCAAGTTCTAGAACCAACCCTCAAAGTCTAACCAGAGTATGCATGAAACAAAATCCATCCTAAGTGAGAAAGGACAGTAGCCAGAGGAGAGAGCAGCACCAGCCTCACAAATGCCTGGCTTGGAACGAAAACTAGGCGGTATACTGTCTTAGTCCCAGCAGTTGCTACCTCCAGATGGTGTGCAGTGCCCCAGAGCTTGCCCTCATACTGTGTTGCTAAACTGGCTGCTCTACCAGGAGACACCAGACCTGGGCTCCACGTGGAATCCCACAGGCTCACTGTACACTTGACCCCACATACATGGCAGTGTTTCACCATCGGGGTTTGAAAAAGCACACGTGAAAACCAGACCCACTGGGGGTGAACTGGCTCAGTCCCTGCTTCATTCTGCGCCATTCTTTTGCTGAACCCCAGGACCTCCCAAAGCCGCACTGGGCTTGGAAAGCCTGGTTGTCTGTGGTGTTAGTGCTCTGTGGTCTGAGCCATTTCACTGCCCTGTGCCTCGCAGGCCACTCTGCAAGTTCAGTCACCAGAGAACTAGTGAAGCTCCTGACCCTGGAGAGCCCAGTGAAGAGGTGACAATGGAACACGGAAGTGCACAGACCAAGTGGTGTCATTTATGTCTGGGGAGAACGTATAAAATCAGCATTTGGATAGCCCATTCCTTTTCCCCTACCTCCCTTCATCCTCCCAAGGTGCTTCTCAAGGCCAGACTCTGAGTGGCAATGCCTCACTTGGTCCTGACACTACCTCTGGGCTAAAGAAGAGGACTGAGCTGTGTTGCTTGGGATATTTCTGAATTGAAGTTGGGGAGCAAAATCTCATTTTCTTGTATCACTGTGAGGGAGCTCCAGCCCTGTCCCTGGAGAAATAATTGCTGTGTAGAAGTCACAGGTCCTACTGGGCAGTTTTGGTACAAGCCTGCCCTTAATAATAATAGTAGCTCGGTGTGCTGTCCACCATCCCTGGCTTTCGGCCGGCCCTGCCCACTGGCCTCGGTTAGGTGGTGAGCTAGGGTTCTTCTCTTGGTTTCTGGGGCTCTTCACATGCAGCCCCTGGGACCTTCTGGACCCTGGGGGAGACAGCAGCCAGAGTGTCATCACAACCAAACTCTTGGCGCGTTCCCCTTAGCCATAGTGCTGCAGAAGATCCTGCTGCCTCTGCTTTCACCAGGAAGAGTTTCCAGGACTCCTTGTGGTCATATTTTCTACCCCAGCCATTCCTGGGAATGTTTCTGCCTCCAGTTGACTTTTCTCCACCCAAATCCCAATGATAAGTGGACCCATGATGGTAATTAAAAGGAGAGAAAAAAAAATATTATTTTTGTTAGGACAAACCATCGTAGATTTTTAGCAATGTGTATCTGCGTGTCCCTCACACCTTTTCCTATTCTGCCTTTTTTTTTCTTTTTTTTTAAATATTATGTACTATATTTTTAGTCTCAAACACACTATATATTATATATATTTAATTTTTTATATATATAAATATAAATGTTTTAAAAAGTGCCATGTTCTGTGTTATTTAATGCTTGAGCAGCTGGTTACTTAGGCTGCCGGGTCTGAGGTGAAATGGTCCCAGTTTGCGGAAAAGATAGACTTGGGATTGAGATCGCAGAAACTATGTATTTGTCTCACCTCCAGGTTCTGCGGCAAACATTTTATTCACCAGTCTGTGACTGTTGCAGAACCCTGAGGCCAACTACAGCAGTTCAGGGACTAAGAGCTCTGTGCTCTTGGAGCACAACCTCCAAATGTTCTGTGCCAAATCTGACTCTGAGGATGGGAAAGGGGGAGGCTTTGAAACTGGGACAGTCTGCATGGAGCCAGAGCAGGCCGCGTTGGTTTTGTTTGGGATGGGGGAGAGGCAAAGAAAACCAACCTGGACTCCGACCTTGTGAACTTGCAGTGCATTCCTTGTAGAATCAGGAAGCAGGCAGCATGGCAGTCTGGGAAAGCTGACTGCTCTTGAGTTGAGTTGGGTTTGCTGAGGTTTCGCCCTGCTTATTTCATGGGAGTATTTGAGGATATTGGAATTGGATACTGGATTTGAGTATACTGGAATTATTTTTAGATAACAATTTGGGGAATTATAAATAGAGAAATGCAAGGACATATAGTTTTCCTAATCCAGTTAATAACCAAATTTAAAGAGTTCATGGAACACAGCCAGAGACAGTGACAGTGAGTGAGAACTGGGGGTGGGGTGGGGGGAGGAGGACGGGGGAGGGGAGAGGGAGCACGCAAGCCATTTCCAAGAAGTTGTGGTTTCATCTCATCATCTCAAGAGCTGTGGCCAAGAGACAGCAAGGTGCAGGCGCTTGAATCAAGAGACACTGAGGTCAGAACCCATGGCCTGCAGGTAGCCCAAGGTGAGAGCGACCTGGATAGGAATGAGAGGCCCAGTGCAGGTTGAAGCTAGAGGCTGCAGGCATCAAAGCTGCACTGCCATTAAAAGGACGGAGACAAGCAGAATGGGGTGGGCTAGGGGGATATTTTGCAAACATGGAAGCCCAGGTGAACTGTTAAGCCAAATGGTGCTGGTTGGAATCCTTTCTATGCTGGTGTGTGTCTGTCTGTGCCCTGTTGCCTGTGTTGTGTTTCCCCTTAGGGTACATTTTATTCACCAAGATCAGCGGTGTTCTTGGTAGACTGGCCATGGACCTTGTCATTCATGTCTGCATCCCCAGAGCCTAGCAAGGCCCAGCAGGCACTCTGGGACAAGTCTGTATATAGAGTACCACCTGAGCTCCCTTGGCTTAAATTTATTCTCCTCTTGGTCACAAAAAGGCCATAGGAGCCTGTTCCCGTGTATTAGGATTTGTCCTGTGCCAGGGCCTCAGCTCATCCTTTAAATTACTTTTACCCCGAGGATGAGTAACAGTGACATAGCCCCTTTATCACCAAAGCACTGGGGAGCTTTAAAAAATCACTCCCTAAGGCCAAGAATTTAGCTCAGTGGTGCTGTGCCTTGCAAGTGCAAGGTCCTGAGTTTGATTTCCAGCACCAAAAATTAAATAAGCTCTTGGCCTATGTTCAGATGCTCCTGTCTGCCCTTTTACACCAAATGTGAAGGTGAAAGTCCGCCAGGATTGGATGTAAAACCACCCTTGCAAAGAATGGAATCTTTCAGGCTTACCTTTCACATACCCTCATTTCAATCCAATCAAATGAAGTGAGCCCTTGCCTTTCCCGCCTCTGTGCTCTTTTCCCTGCCTGTATGTCCTCATTTCCATTTTTTTATTTGTTTGTTTTTCTTTCAGACCCAACTCAAATACTTCTCCAAAGAAGTTGGCCTGATTCTTTAACCACCTTTTCTTCCTCCTGGGAAGCCCCATGCTGACCTCATCTCATCTCTACCTTCTGTTTTGTGTGTTACATTAGCATTTCGCGCTTAGAAGGATGTTTGAAGGCAGAAACCCTGTATCACTTACTGCAGTGTCCCAGTAGCCCAGCACAGTGCCCGGCACGGAGCTGTTCAGTATGCTGGGGGAGTTCAGGGGTGGGGGGAAGACGAGGGAGTGGAGTCATCTAACACAATGAGCCTGCGATTTAACCTAGGTCCAGGAGCCCGTGCAGTAGTACGGCAGATTACGGCTGAGCTGAGGGGAATGGCTAGTGCATACTGCTGCTGGGCCCTCTTTGAGTCCCCTGGCTGCTGGATAATGCCAGCCTGATACTTTTGGCCAATGTGCTCTCAGCAGAAGTGACATGTCACTTCCAGACCCAAACACTTAATTGCCAGTGTGAGGATCTCCAGCCTTTTCTTCTCATGCCATAGCGACAGAAGCCATTGATTCCAGATGGTGTAGTTTTGCAATGTGAGTCACTCTGCCTGGGTCCCTGAGTGCCTGTCATCTCCCAACCCATAATGATCATGTGATCTTTTTTTAAAACAGTACTGGGGATCGAACCCAGGGTCTTCACACTGAGCTACATCCCTGCTTTTTAATTTTTTGAGACAAAGTCTTGCTTCCCACAGTGCTTGGGATTGTAAGTGTGCACTACCATGCCCAATGATCGTGTAATTTGAGAGAGAGATAGATGAATCTTTATTTGGATTCTGATTTTGGAGGAGGTACTGGTGGTCATCAAACCCAGAGCCACGCTAAGTGGGAGCTCTACCACTGAGCTGCACCCCCAGCTCCCAAGAGGACAGTCTGTGTAGTTTCTTACTGCAACTTCATGTATCTTACCCTGATGATCACAGAGAGTGTTAAAATCCTCACTTTACCATTTGCTCCTTGGGTAAATTACACCTCTACATCTCTCTTTTCTGGTCTGTGAAATAGACTGCTATTAGTTTCTGTCCCACAGAAAGTGCTTAGCAGAGTTCTAGCACTTAAGCTCTCAGTAAATGTTCACTTTTGTTAGTCTAGAGGGAAGGAAGCAATGGGCATCTGTCCCTGTTCTTCCTTTGCCGTTTTCCTGAGCAGGAAAGATGTGAACAATCACCCAGGAGTTAAGAAAAAACATGGACTCTGGAGTGAAAAGTTTAAGTTGAAATCCAACCCAGCAATGCCTCATGTAACTGTGTGACTCATTACAGGTCAGCACACTTGTCTGGTCCACTTCATTTCTGCGTAAAATCTTGTGAGCACTCAGAAACGGGATAGAGAAAAGCGTTTTGTGAACCACACTAGCTGCCGATCTATTAACACTGTGGTGCCCCACCCACCTCATCCTGCCTTGCACCCAAACCAAACACCTCGCTGCTGACACAACTGCTGCTCTACCAGCAACCTGATAGTAACAAAATGTGTACATCCAGCTGAGCCTGATGGAGCCCAACATGCGAGGCAAAAGACCAGCTCTCTGCAAAGCAGGAACCTGGGGGAGGAGAAAGATCACTTCCTTCATGGGCACTCACTTCCCCATTTCCTCTACTCATTGTAATTAGCTACACAGAGGCAACCTCCTGGGGTGAGCAGAGCCATCAGCTCCCACAACTGAGCTGCAGAGCTTTGTCTTTTTGTTCCTCTCCACATAATACTGCTCTCTTGGTGGTCGCTGTACAAACACATCCTGCGTTCATTTGCAAACTGGGGAATATTTCATTTTGAGGATCAGATTAATGTCCCGCCTCCCCAAAAGAGACACTCAGTTAGGGCTTCTTTTCAAACAGTATCCTAGCAGAATTTGGCCCTTAGGGGGTGACCAAAACCTTGCCCTTTTCAGAGTCCCTGTGATTCCCTCTCTAAAATAGATGATTACCTGTGGAAAACAGATTTGAAACTTGAAGGCATCTCTGGCCAATAATGGGCCCAATGCACGAGCCCCAGTTCTGCCGCAGAGACCATTGGGATTCAAAAGCCAGATGGCTTTCCATGGAGGCCAGGCTCTGGCATCAGAATGTTTGGACTTCTCAGCTTCCGGGGCGCCAGCTCCATGGCTTTGGGAAAATTCTTTGATCTCTCTGAGCCCTGGTAGCAATCATTCTTTCATTCAGGCAAAACATATTTATTGAACATTTACCATGTGCCTGACACAGTTCCAAACCTGGCAGATAAAGCAGGGAACAAAACAAAGTCCCTGCCCTGGCAGGACTACACTGAAAGGACAGGAGAGAGACAATAAACAAATAAATGGATGACAGAGAATGGTAAGTGCTAAGGGGAGACGTGGAGCAGAGCACAGAGAATGCAGGGGAGCAGGGCTGTGCTGTCTCACGCACGCTTCACCATCAGAGAAAGCCTCTCACAGAGAGTTCAGACGCTCTGGGCTTATATCCAGGGGAGAGAATATTCCAGGCAGAGAGAACACACCTGCAAAGGCTTTGAGGCAGAAAGGAGTGTATAGGGGCAAGAGTCAGCAAAGAACGTTTTGGGAGCAGAAACAGAGGAGAATGGTGAGAAATCCTGGTTTGTCTTAGTTTTTCTCTCAACGCCCAAAGTTAAAGAGCAAAAGGTTAATTTAGCTCACAGCCTGTAGAGGTTTCAGTCCATAACTGGCTGGCTCCAAGGCAGGCTGGCTTGTCAGACAGGCAACTCAGAGGAGAAATAGTTCATGCTGGGCAGAAGGTAGCAAAGCAAGCACAAGATGACCACAGCTCTTTCTATGCCTTATATCTTATCCAGGTTACTCAGAGCAGGGAGCAGTCAGACCCTGAATCCTAGTGCCCCTGGATTGCACCACACAATCGATCCCAGCATCACACACTCTAGATCCAGCCACCTCCAAAACAGAAAGCCCCACCTATGACCACATAAGGCTTTGGGGGGACATCTAGACACAGCTATAACCCTGGTACTAGAGAAGTGAAGTGGGACAGGACAGTGAAGATCCTGGAAATTATTCTGAGAGTGGAAGATGGAGCTAGTCAAGCTGCAGGAAATTACTGTCCTTGTAGGTTAAGAATGGCCGAACAGCAGCAATTTTATATGGTTTAACCTAATATGTGCAAATGTGCAGTATTGTTGATTTATTATTGCCACCTTTAAATAAAA